TTAATAATCTTTTCCTGTTAAATAAATAAATCAAATCAAATCAAACATTTATTACCACATAAGTCATGCAAGATTGTACAATGTTTTCATTTAACCTGTTCATAAACCAGCAGCCATAAAGTACTACATAATTACCAAGTAATACACAACATTTTCCTCATGAAATAAAGAAAACTCTACTGTAAAAGAAAGTCAGACATCTTTCTTAGATTTTATGTAATACACATTGGATTGTATGTTTGTGTTTAACTCAATTGCAGCAACAAGTTGCTTCATAGTTGCCACGTGATACACTACATATTACCCAATAAGTAAAGAGAAGCTGTYCTATAAAAGAAAGCCAGTCTTTTTTCTTACATTTGAAACAGTTATTATTTAACTCAAGCAGATTATTGAATGCTGGTATTTAACCTGTTCACAAACTAGTAACAACAAAGTAACTCATCATTACTAAGAAATACATAACATATTACCCAATACGTAAAGTGAAACAGTACTGTAAAAAAACAGTAGATTTAAACAATTATTACCATGTAAAGCACATTATAATTTGCATCTCAGGAACGAATGATTAGCTCAGAATGAAGAACATCTCAATTTAATGACATCAAGTACACATTTGAACCCATAATAATCAATCAAAATACACAACCCGTGTTGTGTATTTAGTGCAACCCCACTGCTCCTCTGGCAGAATGATGGTTGTTGAAGCTCCAGCTGTAGTTTCATGAAGTACACAACATCTTGTCATGGATCAACAACACAGTTTCCTCATTCTGGACTCATAAATATCACAGAGTGACCACGTTTTCTCAGTTGTGTAAATGAAGAGATTCAGCTAAAAATAATGAATCTTCTGTTATTTGACAGCTTAACATTATATTACACATGCATTTTAATACCCTTTACTCATTTAACCACACTACAGTGAAGTAAATACACATAAATACACATAAATACAACTTCCTTTAACAAAGCAGTGAATATCTGCAGTACATAGAGGGTAACTGAGATACTATTAAACTGTAATTATAATTACCCACTAAAATTAGTTTTATTACATAAAATTTTACTATACAATTATTAAGTATTTAGTGGTAAAGTACTGTAATTTACTATGTGATTACTAAGTAATTACATGGTAATTAGGGGACTGTAATAGAAAGGGTTACCCATCATTTCAATTCACGGCACTGAAGGCTGTCCCATTCCAAGGCCTTCTTCTGATGCAGCTGACAAAACCCCAGAAATGAAGGATGAATCTGACCTGTTACATCTATTATTCTGTCCTGAAACACTTTATATTCTGCCCTTTACAGTATTTATTACACATGCTCATTACACACACTGCTGGACATGACCCAACCTGACTTATTGTGCACGCCCCTGGAACATGACTCTGTCATGACTTTTCTTTGTCATTCTCCTGCACAATATTTCTATTTTTATTGCCTTGTGCAGTATTTTATTTTTACTTTTATTCTATTCTGTTATAGAACTTATGTCCTCCCAGTTATTTACTTACACAAACAGGGGCGAAGCTAGACTTTTTTGTAAGGGGTGGCACAGGGAGGCCAAGGTGTTTTTAGGGGACACTAGGGTTTTGAACATTCATGATGACTAAAACTAATTCCAAATTGCTTTATTTCAGGCGTTTTAAGAAACACTGAGCTGAAGTTCTGTGCAATCATAGCTAAGAATGATCCAAAAAACATGCTGAATGCTAGTCTCAACTTATTACTGTCATTTTTAGACATACAAAGCTGCAGATTATGTAGAAGTAGCCACAAACAAACAATCTTTAACAAATCATAAATGCTAATCAAAAAATTAAAATGACCACCACAACTATTAATAAGCTTTCATTCAGACATTTTAAGACTTATTGAGAAGAAATTTGTTGTGGAGTAGCTAAGATCGATCACATGCCGATTGTCGATGCTAATCCCAAACTAAGCTAACCACTAATGCTAATTTTACAAAGGGCTGTAATTCAGCCATTTTTAAACACACAGCTGAAAATGTAAACATTAATATTAGAGAACAATCTTTGACAAAATCTACATGTAAATACAAAATCCAAGATCCTCAACCACTTGTCAGTTATTTGGAGGTGGCACCTGGGGGGGGCACTCAGGTTCCAGAGGGGGCACTTGCCACCCTGGCCACCTCTCTGACTCTGCCCTGTGTACAAATCTTACAGACAAGTACAACACATGTTTTGAACAGACCATGGTACAACAATGAACATGAACAGTGAGCAACATGAATCAAAAATAACTACTGGAGCCACATTAGAAAAAAGTTTTATAATACTATTGTAAAGTACTTATACTTCATGTAAACTCAAATTATTAATGTCTTTTGTGTTTTTATGTGTAACCTTTTTAAAAATACATTCAATTTTGTGAAGTTGTATCTCCTCCAAGACATGTGAAAACATGTTATAATGCATTTTACGTATTACGGATAATGTGAAATAAAATGTAAGCCTGGTAGCAGGGTAGTACACACAGACATATGTCACACAAAGACTAGACTCTTATTTAACAGCTGTCAGATTCAGTCTCCAGACGTCTAAGGGCAGACGCCTCAGTGGGCTGCAACCCCTGAATTTAGACACAGCTAAGGAGCAGTTTTTACTACACTGACAAACTAACAGTCCAAACAAGGAAAACACCATGTAGACTGCTGTCATTAGTTTCAGACAAATACTGTTTCATAGACATTAAAATTATGTCAGTTTCTACATACAAGGTTATTCATATAAAGATTGAGTTTCCAAGGCAAACAGCTGCAGCAGCAGCTAGCTGTATCCATTTAGTTCAACCTGGGGTCAGTTTTAACAGGAATATAACAAT